TTAGCAGATTAAAAAAAATATTCCTTTTCCATAACATCTGCATCGAACTCTGGTTTGCACACAGTACAGGGAGACCCTGTCTGCCCAACGTTCTGCAAACTTACCAACTTTCTTTAGAGCAGGACAGAGAAATGTGAATGGAAAAAGTACCCACTAAATGAATAATTACACACCAAATTAAAACCCTGCATTAAACATAGTCGACAGCAAATACCGCATTCTCAATCATGTTTATTGCTTACAAATTGCATTACAGAGAAATCTACTCTTTTTATTGGCGTGATTAAGCAGAGTGTTAGGACGGCAGAAATACCATTCTGTTAGATTAGATGGAGGCTGGGAACTGGGCTAGTTACATTGCCTCGGTGAATGTACAATTTTGTTAAAGAACACGTTTAACACACAAATGAGGATCGGGCTGTCATTATGGCATCATAAAAGCGTCATCTTAAAATTATATTTATTTATAAACACATTGCCTATAAAATGTGCATATTTAATACAAACGGGAGCAGGCCATTCCATAATCAATATTTTAATTACTGAATTTTTTACTATAGCGGCACAATCCTATATGATATGTCACAGTCCTATAGGTTTCCTACATTCTGCTCCCCTTTATCATGAGAGCTAAAACCTTGTTTTCTTCTAGTTCTGGGGAGAGCAGGTCGGTGGAGGAGGGTAACACCGCTTGCTTATGGCGCCACCTGCAGGACTCTATGAAAATGAGTTTCAACGCCGCAATCCTCTGCTGGGCTCCAGAAATTTAATAACCTCAGGCTTATTTTGGCAATTTCATGAAATTAATTTTTGTTTTCAAATAGGACGATGTTGACGTTTGGCGACAAAGTCCTGGGGTTTGAAGAGTATACTTGAGTCCACAAACAAGACGCAGTATTGATCACAGGTGAAACTTTGGGGTTTCTGAATATCCCAAGTGCACACGGCAATTTTGAGGAAGGAATAATTTATCCTTGAAATAATGGAATTAAAGGTTGCGATATTCCTGCTTTATCACTTGGTCCTTGGGCAGCCCTTAAGAGATGAAAAGCACTTGGCAAGCTAATAATATCTGCAATTGTAGTGATTAAGCTTCCTCTCGGTTGCCCCGCATCAGGACCGGTCACTGGAGCAGACCCGCTCATTCTCCAAGCCTGTATTTTATACCGTTTTTGTAGAGGGTTAAGTGTTCTTTGCAAAAGTTCAACAGCCTGCCCCATCAGCGTGTGTCTAAAGGGTTATTTCAGAGATTGGAAATGTGACAATTATATATACAGTTCCTGGGATTAGCAAACGCTTCCTAAAGAGTCAGTGGTTTTGATTTTCTTCAAAACCCGCTGAATTGATGATTATCATGTATCTTTTTAAAATTAAAAAGACGCAAATACACTACAGAGAGGCCCAATGCCGTGTTCAGAATTTTAAACCTAACAGGCACAGGCTGCCACGTCCGGGGACTGCCTGCCTGTGCCCTGGGGATTGCGTCTGGCCACCCCGCTGTGCCGGGGGCGTTTTGCCCTGTGCAGGGCACAGCCAGGACGCAGGGAGGCGGACCTCCTCAGGACCACTCACTTCTGCATTTAAATCCTCAGTGGTCAGATGGCAAGTAGTATCGTCCGAGATACTCAGTAAAAGCGGAAGGAAACGATTCTTGTTATCTTTTTTTAGTGGAAGCGGCATTTACTCTTTTGTTACCTTCGGCTTCTGGAACCATGTGAATCCATCATTAAAAATGAAATACGAAGTTAAAAAAAAACAATTTAGGTCTTAGGGAATTGAGTTTATGTAATATACTCAGAGAAAAGTAATGATGTCCAATATGAACCGCCTAAGAATGGAAAACATTTTTAGATCCTTTAATAAAAAAAATGCCAGGGTACATTTTGTTCACTGGAAGGGAAGTCAGCCAGGATAATTCTCGCTTTGAAGTAGAATGTCTTGGGGTGCTGGGCTGGCTCAGTCGGTGGAACCTGTGACTCTTCTTGATCTCAGGGTTGTGAGTTCGAGCCCCACGTTGGAGGTAGAGATTACTTAAAAATAAAAACTTTAAAAAAAAGGAAGGGAAATGTCTTTTTTTGATATTTATTTCGCCTAGCTCCCCCTCCCCCTCTCTCTTTCTTGCCTCTGTGGAATTATGCAAGTCTCCTTGATTTGAGAACTTCTGAATACATGTAGCGTAGAACATAGCTAGACACAGTCGTCAAAACAACACGCTTTTTTTTGGACAGGTAGTTTATTTCTTTTGCCAAACAAAGCAAGTGCTAGCAGTAATTACATTCTGAGAAGCTATGAATGAATTCCACGCCATTTGATGAGTAAGCTACAGCCCCAAACAACCACACCAGGCATTTTTGTCCCCTCCAGTCATGACTGTAACTCAGGAACGGTATTTAGCCCATCTGGATGGCCACTGGCACATCTGGATGGCCCCCGAGCACATTTCTAGCGCCAGTTTGTTTTCTACTCATTCTCGGGAAGCTGTGATGTTGCTTTCCCGATGAGCTGGAGGCAGAGTGAAGGACGCCCGGCATCGTCGCTCTGTTCCTGCCGCACCGGGGTCCAGGGTAACCAAGAGTGCTAGTCTGGAGGTACGCGACGTGCAGATGCTACTGGCTGGTGCAGTGGGCTGCGGGAGCTTGTCCCGGAAGCCTCACGATTGTGCACGGGACACAGTGAGGACAGTGATGGATGGAGAGGTGCCTGAACTTCCACCTGCCCCGGGAATAAACAGGTATCCCCCGTTCGATGCGGCGCCGAAGCCAGATCGAAAGCACTTCCTCTCTGCAGCCCACCCCACCAAGTGCTCAGGTCTCTCCAGGAGCCTGGCTGACAAATGGGCCTTCTTTGCTTGGCTGTGAGCTGCCCGAGGAGGAGGAGCCCGTGAGCCTGTCTGGTTGGTGACGGGCCCTCAACCCCAAGTGCTGGGCTCGGCGGCCGGCAGGCTCGGTCAGAGTTGGTTAAAGCAAAGAGCAAACGGCTAAATGGGTGCGTGAATGACTAAACCTGAGGAACTTTAGGGATTAGCTATTCTTGGGCACGCCTAGATTTTATTTTGTTTATGTATTTTTTAAAAAGCTTATTTATTTTTGAGAGAGAGAAAGAGCGTGTGTGGGAAGGGTGAGAGAGGGAGGGAGAATCGCAAGCAGGCTCCGAGCTGTCAGTGCAGAGCCCGATGTAGGGCTCGATCTCACAGTTCATGAGATCATGACATGAGCCCAAATCAAGACTCGGACCCTCAACTGACTGAGTCCCTCCCGGTGCCCCTGGCAACCTATCAGTTGATCATCCTTTAGCAGAGTTTTAGAAGTACAAAGTCAGTATGTTTTTTTTTTTTTTTCAACGTTTATTTATTTTTGGGACAGAGAGAGACAGAGCATGAACGGGCGAGGGGCAGAGAGAGAGGGAGACACAGAATCGGAAACAGGCTCCAGGCTCTGAGCCATCAGCCCAGAGCCTGACGCGGGGCTCGAACTCACGGACCGCGAGATCGTGACCTGGCTGAAGTCGGACGCTTAACCGACTGCGCCACCCAGGTGCCCCTAAAGTCAGTATGTTTTAAGGGAGTTCTACTTTGTTCCAGGACTCTAACATTTACATTGTAATGCATTTCAGAAATACGGCCGAACTCTTTTCTCAGGTGGCCGGGATGGGGGGGGGTGTGGCTCAGGATTACATCCTATAAGGACAGTATGTTTGCTCAGATTCTCATTTGCAAAATCCAGTGAGGACAGGGCTCCTCAGTGGCTGCACTTCTTACCCTGTATTCTTGCCCTTCTTATTCTTATAAATGGCTTGGCTTTTCCACTTCTTATCCCTCGATCAGGCTGTTTTCATCTAATAATGATGCAGTCATAGTAACAGAAGGGACCATTTACTGAGCTCCTTCCCTGGGCGGGCTCTGGACCTGGGGTTTTGCGGTCTCTGCACTCAGTGGGGCCACCCCCGCCCCCAAGAGCAGGGCTGTTATCCACACTCGTGAAGAACCCTCACGTTCACAGACGTACATGATCCAGGCCCTAGCCCAGACCTCCAGAGTCAGAATCTGCAATGCAACAAGATCCTTTTCCAGTTGGTGAAACCTACCTTGCGACAGTTCTCTGGCCGAATCCTGACCTGACAGGAGGTGCGTGGACACTTTCACTGTCCAGTTGAGACATCACATTTGACTTCAGTTAAGTAGCTGCTCTTGCTTGGGGGTGCAACCCTTTCCCTGGGGTGTCACTGTGGGCTCCTGCCTGTCCCGCAGCATGCTGTCTGCCTTTCCAGGACAAAGCGGTCTCCCGAGAGTCCCGTGGTGACCACATCTGCGCACCTGCTCCGTGGAGCCTCACGGCTTCTCCAGGGAAATTCAGAAGCCCTGGTCTGGAAGCCAAGACCCTCCCAATGTGCCCCCATGCCGTCCAGTCCTTCCTTCGTCCAGCTGCCAAAGCACAAGGACCCTCCCCTCCAGGAGGCCGGGTCTCTGTTCCTCCACCACACCCTGCACATTCCTGCACCCTGCCTTCGAAACAGTGGTGACCGCAGAATGTTTATGGAGGAGGGGCTTGGGGACAGCCGTCCTCTTGGGGTGGGGGTGTGAGGGTGGGTCAGCTGAAGGTGCTGGGGGACGCCGTCCTATCACCCCCTTGGCCCACTGTGTTGAAATCGAGGCTCAGCCCGGCTACCTGCTTCAGGATGTCTGCCCTCACGGTGCGGGGGGGGGGGGCGTGCCCGGCTGGTGCCCTTCGCAGCTCCACAGTAGGCCTCATCATGGCGCACACAGCGGCCCATCTATGCTGCAGGTGCTGCCTAGGCTGTGCGCTCCCTTCCAGATCGGCAGCCGTGGGAGGCATGCCCCGCCCCCCAGGCCCGTCTCAGCACACCCGTGCGCTGGCTCAAACCGGAAAAGATGGAGCCCCTGCTTAACCCCAGAGGATGGTGGTGAAGAGTTCTTGTTTCGCAATCTGGTGTATCAACAAAAACTTTGAGGGCTTGTGGAGGCAAACAGATTAGAGGACAACTACCATCGAAAAGATCGTTTGTTACTCACCATTCCCAAGAGAAGGGACACGGCATGCCATGGGGCGGGCATGTGGGGAAGCACTCAGGGTTGGTCAGGAGGTTGGGGGAAGGGATGTGGACAAAAGCCTCTCTTGTGGTTTCCATGGAAGGAACAGGGCCAGGCGGGACAGACGGGCTTAGGATCGGCTAGTGGGAGTCATTTCAGCAGGCTCTGGGGTATAAGGGCTGTCCCTACCTGTCTGGCACCTGGCCCTGGGACCGTTAGGACAGGTGGACTGTAGCCCAGAGTGTGACAGCCCAGTAAAGGAGGTGGGTGGGGGTGAGAGCTCTGGATTGGTGGGGTTGCTCTTGAAAAGCGTGCTTGGGGTGAACGGTTGGCTGTCCTCAGGAATCGACCAGCCCTGGAAGGGGCAGTCCCTCCAGGGTCAGCCAGGTCCCAGATACCAAAAGCACCAGAATACAGAAAATAAGGTATGGCCTATGCAGTCCTGACACCTTGAGGAGCTCTCTGTGTATGTGATGCCCAGGCTGGGTTGATGGCGACCCCTACCAACCCGTGTCTGTTCCTGGCATCTGGCTTCCTGCAGGTTGCCACGGCTGAATCATTCGGGGTTTGGCGAGAGTGTCAGAAGACTCACATGGGACCAGAACGCTGGGCTCGCCGCCCCTCCAATGTCCCTTAGGGGCTTCGGGACTGTGATGTGCTGGGAAGCACCAGGGGGCTCCAGAAAGGTGCTCTTGTTACGGAAACAGGTGTTCTCTCTCAGTACGTACCCCTCTCACGTGTTGGGCACAGAGCCCTTCCAGGCGGCCAGGCTCCAGGAGGGGTGGGACAGTGCCTGTGAGGCAGATGGTCTGATGGGCAGCATGGAGGCTGTTAACCCACCGCAGGCAGGACACAAGCCTTGGGAAAACAAGTGTATCTTTTCGTTCAACTTCTGTTGAAAAGTACTCTCTGATGCCAGTACTGTGGAACTCACAACCTTGACCCTCACGAGCAACCCTGAGAGGCAGAAAGGCCTTTTATTGCCAGTTCTGTTCCAAAGTGACCGGGAATCTGTGAGGTCCGTGCGTCCGCCAGGGGACGTGGCAGGTGCCGTCCGGGTCTGCCCCTCCTCTCCCCTGAGCGCACCGCCTCTACGGAAGGCAGCAGTGAGAATCAGAGCCTCAGTCCCAGCGCTCTGGTTTTCAGTACAAAACACCTTCCGGCTCCAAAAGGAGGTAATTTTGCAGGCACTTTGGGAGGGGTAGCAGGGGCGCGAGGCGGAAACACTTCTTGCCAAGTAACTTCCGAATGGCACAACGGCACAGGTGCTGCAGACAGCGGGGGGTGTGGGCCAAAGCAAACAAAGACCGGTAGAAGGCCTGGTGCATCTGGAAAGAAGGCAGGCGGGAGATCAACCGGAGCGCTGCACCTGACAGCCGGCATCGCCCTCCACCAAGGGGGCGCGTGGATTTTCCTGAGGTGCCATTCTAGGGGGTCTGAAGGAAGTCCGTTTTGGGTGACACCACAGGTAACACAGGTATTCTCCTCAAATCCTGCTCTGCTCCCCCCACTGCACGGTGCACTCGCTGTTGGGCGATGTGCACAGAACTCAAGTCAATGAGACGTGAGGGGAGAGCTTCTGGAGGCTTATGGGGGCTGGGAGGGGAACGTCCTCACAGTTTCTTAATTGACAGTGACCGTGGACTTTGTTGGGTACCTAGATACACCTCCACTTTGCCTTCTCTGTCCTTTTTTGATGCTTTGCGCTTCCCTGGGTATAGTGTGAGGAAACACACACACACACACACACACACACACACACACTCACACATGCATGCGCGGGCGGGTGAGCAGAAACCCAGCGATGCTGTGCTGAGGGGGAAGGAAGGGCGCTCCCTTACCTGAAATACTTCCTCCGGAATCACTTCCCGCCAGGACTCGGACACGCGGAGCTGAGGGTAGGAGTTGAAAAGCGTCTCGATCACCATGGGGGCTGGCGCGCAGGTCTTCAGCACCTGGTCGGAAGTGGGGGGGACAGAACTTACGTCGACTGGGCTCTGGGTCCAAGTGGGGAAAGGGCCAGCAGACGTGGGGGGGTGTCTGTGTCCCACTTCGGCCACTCCCTGGCTGTGTGACCCCACTCTACCTCAGCCATACCGGGGATAACAGCCCTTGAGGGATCAGGACAGCAGGGCCACGGAAGTTAGTTCCCAGACAAGCGCAAGGCAAGTGGCCCATCTTAGCCCCGTGATGGCAGCACATCCCCGAGTCTGGGCCAAGTGCTTACGCATTCACTTTCCCAGGAACAGGGTGCCGATGGCTCCGTGGGCTCTTCTGGTCTCCGGAATGCTACTCAGAGAAGAGGAAGGAGGTTCTGTTGGTTGGCAGTCTGGTCCAAGGATGGTGTTTACAAATTCTTATCTCAATTTTCTAATGTGTCAGGAAATTGAGGGAGAAGGATCACTTTGCCGTTGAATTTCCTCCCGACTTGGTCTTTCCATTTTATTTCCAGTCTCTGCTGGCAAAGGAGTCCTATTTTCTTATTTGCAAATTTTACGATTGAAATGAGAACACTATTTGCTTTTTAAAAATCAGCTTTTTCTTGTGATCGTGACATGTGAATGAACACAAAAGTAGACTGAATGGTATGATAGTCCCTATGCACCGCCCCCCATCAACACATGGCCAGCCCTGCCCCATCCACACCCACGTTACCTCCGATTATTTTAAAGCAAATGCAATGTATCCTATCATTTCCTCTATAAATATTTCAGTGTGACTCTTACAGGATGCTTTAGAAGAAACCACATCATTACACGACCTGAGAAATTAACGAGTTTCTTAGCATCATCTAATATATGGCCAGTGTTTAAATTCACAATTTTCTCTTCAATTCTCTTCAATGCCATTATATAGTAAAAAAAAAAAAAAAAAAAAAAAATTGTTTGTCTGAATAAGAACTGAAATAAGGCCAACAGGGTTGAGATTGGTTGATATGATGTATTATCAGATCTCTTATTTGTGTATCATGTTATAGATTATTGAAGAAACTGGGTTCTTTGTCCAGCAGAGTCTCTCAGTGTTGGGATTTTGCTCACAGTATTCCTGTAGGGTTTGGGGACACGATGTTCCTCCTCTGCTTTTTGTAAACTAATGGTTGGGTTTGGAAAATTCATCAAATTCAGATTTGATTTTGGGGAAGGGCAGGGCAACATCATAGTTTTCTGTTTTTGAGGCTTAAGATTTACCAAGGGTTGTAAAACTATTCTTAGTATTTCTTCATCGAGAAAACTGAGGTTAAGCAATTTTCTTAAGATCAGGCACCAAATATCTACAGCAGGCAATTAACAAACAGGGCCAAAGGCTGAGCTCCCTGGGGCTCTCTGAACTGAGTCAAATAGAAGAAAGTACTTAAATCCCCCAGTATGGTTGCTCCATTCACAACTTACTGAGCTTGGTTCAGATATGAAACCTTTTTAAAATGTTAAGACAAAACAAGAAATTAGTGTATCTTTGTTTAGAGATAAGCACTATTAGCATTTTAAGTATACTAATGTTTAATGCATTCGGACAAAAAAACAATATATACAATAAGAGTGGGCTAATACTTTGCATATTATTTTGAAAGTTGATTTTTGTCCACTCAAAACAGATTACACACAATTCAGAAATCATAAATGAGCACTTCAACATTACTTCAGTGAACATATATTTTATTTGATGAATATATGAACATATTATAATGTATTCAATGAAACAACTACTGTAAACTGATGTTACAAACAACGAACACTCTTGAATGTGATTCTATCTCTTTCTGCCCCTAACCATTCTTATTTAAATTATTTTTATTTTTTTCTTTTTTGAGGGAGAGAGGGAGAGAGAGTGCAAGGGGGGGGGGGGAGAGGGGCAGAGGGAGAGAGAGAGAATCTTAAGCAGGCTCCACACAGGTCTTGATCCCATGACCCTGGCATCATTACTTGAACTGAAATAAAGAGTCGGACGCCCAACTGACTGAGCCCTCCAGGCGCCCCTTTATGTAGCTAAGATAATTCTGTCCTCTTCTGACATTGAATTCCTGGAAGCAGAAATGTAGGGTCAAGGAGTCTGTACATTTTAAAGGTTTTAAAACATGCTGTCAAATTGTGAGTGTGCAAATTGGCACACTTTTTGAAGAATGGAGTATGAGAGTACTCTTTCTCCCTACCCAAATCCTCTCATTAGTTATTTAAATTTGATAGGTACAATATGGAATATTTACTTCTGTTTTGGTGGACCATTTGTGTTCTTTTGTGAATTGCTAAATTATGTTTTTTGCTCAATTTTCTATAGTATGTTTATTTTTTTCATTGATTTGTAAATATATTTTATATTTTTGCAAATATATCTTTGTATTTGCAAATAATGGTATTTTCTCCTATCAATATAAATATCTCACATTTACTTTTCTTGTCTTATTACATTGGTGAGAGCTTTAAAGTTCAATGTTAAATAACAATATTGATAGCAGGCATCATTATCTTATTCCTGATTTTAATAGGATTATCTGTAATGTTTCACTAAACCATATAACCTTGGATATTAGTTTCAGATAGACTCTCTGTTCTAAATTCAGGAAGTGTCTTTCTGTTCCTAAGTTACTGTAAATTTTAGGATTTAATTTTATTTTTTGCCTTTTTCTAAGCAAGTTGATACAAGATTTTTCAATACCGACCCATTTTTGTCTTCACAGAACAGACTCTATTTGACTAATCTGAAGAAAATTCCAGATTCAATTTGCTAAGATTTCTATATCTCTTCTAAGAACTAAATGTGGTTTGTTGTTTCAGTTTTGTAAGCTATTTGTGTCAGGTTTTGATATCACTTTATGTCGACTTAGCTTAGAAAATCTCTCTCCTTTTAGAACATTCCAAGATTTTAAAAGTGCAAACTTCCTGGAAGCGAGAAGGCACGGATCTTGCATTTAACATTGTCTATGCCTGGTCTTATGCTGCAGATAATACTTTAATATTTTCACTTTCTTCCTCAGTTATTGGTATATTTTGATTTCTTCTTTTTTTTAAAGATTTTATTTATTTTTTATTAAAAAAATTTAATGTTTATTTATTATTTTGAGAGATAGACAGAGTGTGCGTGGGGTGGGGCAGAGACAGAGGGAGACACAGAATCTGAAGCAGGCTCCAGGCTCTGAGCTGTCAAGCACAGAGCCCGACGTGGGGCTCGGACTCATGGACCGTGAGATCACGACCTGAGCCAAAGTCAGACGCTCAACCGACTGAGCCACCCAGGCGCCCCAGATTTTATTTTTAAGTAAACTCCATGCCCAACATGGGGCTCAAACTCACAACCCCAAGGTCAAGAGTTGCACGCTCTACTGCCTGGGCCAGCCAGGCGGCCCTTGATTTCTTCTTGAATCCATTTTGTTAATCTATATTTTCCTGGAAAACAATCTCATCTTATTTTATTTAAAAAAATTTTTTAATTCCAGTATGGTTAACATACAGTGTTATATTAGTTGCAGCTGCACAGTATAGTAATTTAACAATTCTAAACATGACTCAGTGCGCATCATGGTAAGCGTACTCTTAATTCCCTTCAGTTACTTCACCCATTCCCCACCCTGCTCTGGTAACCATCAGTTCGTTCTTCTTCTTCTTTTTTTTTAATGTTTATTTTTGAGAGAGCGAGAGAGAAAGAGCACGAGCAGGGGAGGGGCAGAGAGAGAGGGAGACACAGAATCCGAAGGAGGCTCCAGGCTCCGAGCTGTCAGCACAGAGCCTGATGCGGGGCTCCAACTCACCAACCGCCGAAGTCAGCTGCTTACCTGACTGAGCCACCCAGACGTGCCACCAGTTTGTTCTTTATAGTTAAGAGTCTGTTTTCCTGTTTGTCTCTTTTTGTCCTGTTTGTTTTATTTTTTAATCCCATGTATGAGTGAGATCAGATGGTATCTGTCTTTCTCTGATTCATTTCACTTAGCATTGTGCCCTCTAGATCCATCCATGTTGTTGCAAATGGCAACAATCTTCATTGTAAAGAAACTTAGCTTTGCAGGTGTATCTGTCAGAGTTCCAATAGGACAGAGACAGCACACTGACGTAGGATCGTCCCGGGAGGGTTTACCGATACAGGAGCTATTAAGCCCGGTGTGAGTACAGGGGAAGTCAAAACACTAATGTGGAGCTGGGAGCAGGGCCACTTCTGCCTCTGGGACTGAAGGGTGGAGAGTCACGTGGGCTATCAGGAGTAGTGATCTTGGGTTGGGGACATGCAGCCAGCCTGAGGCACAGAGGGGGCCAAACAGAGACCTCCTCTGACCTCTCCCTCCTTCTCCCACTGTCTGCTGGGAGACTGCACTGGTGAAGCCCAGGAAGGCAGAGGGCCCAGGGCCTTCTTGATCTATCTACGCAGGTGGAGAGAAATTCTGGATGGGAGATATCCCCACTCTCTCTAGGAACAAGCACCCCTTTTCATTTGAAATTCTGTAATTGGGGGCACCTGGGTGGCTCAGTTGGTTGAGCGTCCGACTTTGGCTCAGTCATGATCTCACGGTTCACAGGTTCGAGCCCTCTGTGCTGACCGCTTGGAGCCTGGAGCCTGCTTCGGATTCTGTGTCTCCCTCTCTCTCTGCCCCTCCCCTGCTCACACTCTGACTCTCTCTGTCTCTCAAAATTAAACATTAAGAAAAATAAAAAGAAATTCTGTAGTTGTATTTCCAATGTTTTCCCTTGTTTAGTCTTACTGGAATTTCACTAATTTGTTTTTTCAAGGAATCACCTATTGGATTTTATTGACCAGTTCTTTTCAAATGTTTGAATCCATTAAATTTTGCACTTATTGTTATTAATGCCTTTGTTCCTCTTTCTGACCCCTTGGATCGACTGCTCAGTTAATTTAGTAACATTTTTTCCCACTTGAGTCATAACAAAAGCAACTTTTAAAGTGGTGTGGGTATGGTAACAGCCCTAAGTTTTGAGGCACAGGGTTCTAACTCTCTTTCTTAAGTATTCTGCAA